GGCACGTTCAGAAGTCAGAGACACGTTCTTGAAGTGACTCTTTGTGGTCTTACAGCACAAGAGATGCAGAATTGGGACCCCATCTGGCCACAGGTTCGATTGCGTTTACTCATAAGAACCTAAAAGCCCTGCTGGATCAGATCTTGTCCAGCATCCTGTCTCACAGAGCAGCCAACCAAGTTCCTCTGGAGGGTCAACAATGGGGCATAGAGGCCGAGGCTTTTCCCTGATGTTGCCTCCTGGCTCTGGGATTCAGAGGTGTAGTGCCTCTGAATGTGGAGGTTCCCCTCAGGCACCAGGGCTAGTAGCCGCTGACAGGCCTCTCCTCCATGAAATCTGTCAAATCCCCTTTTAAAGCTGTTTGTTCCTGTGGCCATCACGACATTCTCTGGCAGCAAATCCCACATTTTAATCACTCTCTAAGATCAACAAGATCAATCTTGTGCAGTTCCGCAGGGCCTGTAAGACGGAGCTCTTCCGCCAGGCTTTTAATTAGGAGCTGCCGCCACGACCACCAATGCCCACAATGAACATCTCTGGTGTGAGGCCAGCCTAACTGACATTGTATTTACCATCCTGTGGAGTCCAGAGAAGAAGAAGAAAATGATGATATTGGATTTATACCCCGCCCTTCACTACCTAAAGGAGTCTCAGAGCGGCTTACAAACTCCTTTCCCTTCTCCTCCCCACAACAGACACCCTGTGAGGTAGGAGGGGCTGAGAGAACTCTGACACAACCTGCTCTTTTTCAAGGACAGCTGTGCCAGAACTTATGACTGACCCAAGGTCACATCAGCAGCTGCAAGTGGAGGAGTGGGGAATCAAACCCGGTTCTCCCAGACTAGAGTCCGCGCACTTAACCACGACACCAAACTGGCTCTCTGAGACTGAGATCCTTAGGTGCCCCTTGACATGGCACGCCATTGCGATTTAATACTGTGAGCGCTTTAATTTTCAATGGTTTAATTATTTAACTGCTTTAACTGTTTAATTGTTTTTAATTGTTTATGATTCTGGCGCGCTCTGCCAAACATTGTTAGCCGCCCTGAGCCTGCTTGCGGGGAGGGCGGGATATAAATGTAATAATAAAAACAAAAAACAAAGACAGTCTTAAAAGTGAGGACCATTTTAGGGGAAGACGCATGAAAAATCCCCTACACCCAAGAAGAAACCGAGTGCACAGACCAGACCAAAGGCTCCCCTTCTCTCTTCCGAGACAAAGAGGGGAAATGACCCACACAGCCCTCAAAGGAAGGCTGGCTTTGTGCTCCAGGGAGCTGCGACTGACCTTCACCATGGCCTGCTGATCCTCTGAGTACTCCACCTGAGCCGTGGAGAGGTTGATGATGCCCCTTTCCACGGGGTCTTTGTCGCCGTTGTAGATGAAGACATACGGGCGACGGACCACCACGAAGTGCTTGGCCCACGAGGGAGAAAGCGGCTCCTTGAAGTGTAGGTAGCCCTTCTTGGAGACCACAGAGCTGGAGATGAACGAAGAGGAGGGGGATTTGTAGGGTGAAGCGCCTGGGCTGGAGAGGGCTCTCCTGACAGCAATGAACCTATGGCTCCGGGGAGGACACGGGGGGGGGGGGAGGAGAAGGTCCCTTTGGGAAGCTCCGGCAAAGCCAGCTTGGCGGGACGGTCAGGCCAGGAGGCCAGATTCTGAGCTAGCCTTCTCAGCCCAAACCTGGCTTTTGTTCCCGTAATTCAAGGACACAAGTTCACTTGGGGGGGGGGAACCCAGCCGCCATGACAGCTCACGTAGTTACCAACAGAGCGGCCGCAATCTGTGTTTTTAGTTAGAACTGGGGAGACGGACATTCCCTCCCCACGGAGTTTACCGTTCTCACTTGGTACGGTCTGAACCCTGAGACTCACCCAGGTCTGATTTCCTCGATATCAGGAACAAGGTTCAGAAACTCATTTTTGCCGGCCCTGGCCAAGTAGGAAGCTTCGATGGGGGGCATCAGTTGGAACGACTCGCCTTCCGCGCCAGGGCTGGAGGCACGAGAATTGGCTTCCGGAGTCCTTTTAAAAAAACAAAAAAACAAAAGAGGAGAAAAAAATGCTTCGCTTGACCAAGCAACCACCAAGGTTGATGAAGACAATCAGCTTCATTCATTGCACCCAACCGCGGTTTGTGCAAACCACAGTTTAGAATCCAAACCAAGATTCCGAGCCACTTGTTTTAGTCTTCCACTCAGGTGCAATACTCCCTCTAAGCTCTGGAGTCTTGTGAGCAAAAATTCTACTTTGTGAGCTACTGGCATTAAAGTTGTGAGCGAGAGATTTGGCGACTGCATAAATTAATTTGCTCTGGGGCCCTCCTTCCTGAGCGAAGACAAAAATGTGTGAGCTGGAGGCTAAAAAACTGAGTTGGCTCACACTAACTCAGCTTAGAGGGAACACTGCTCAGTTGCATAAATTCATTTCCATTCCCCAAAATCAGCAGAGAAAGATGAAACGATGATGGGAGGGGGGGAGGACACAGAAAGGCGTGGTGGGCTCTGTAACCTGCCCACTGAGGGACAGGGATGCCAGAGGAGGTATGAAGAGAGAGAGTCTCCCATCGGCTCAACTCACTTCTGATCCACAGAGTTGCACCGCGAGTCTGACAGCGAGGGGCAGGTGGAGGAAGGCGTCAGGGTGGCGCTGCTGAAACTCGATTCCGATGGGTCCCGTCCAAGTGGAGAGATATCAGACAGCTAGCAGGAGAAAAAGTTTGCCAGTGAGCTTTGTGCAAGTTGGACTAAAGTATGACTTCTTTTAAATAATTTAAAAAAACCACGCCTCTGGCATTTTTACCCAAGGTCCACTGCTCTGTATTTAGCAAACCACTGTCCGCGTACCTTACAATCACTGATGCTGTTGTAGACCTGGTTAAATTCACGGTTGAAAGTGTGAGTGAGAAGCTGCAGGCACTGGAAAGAAAGCGAGACAGACAGGCACAAAGATGTCATTTTCAATCTTCTCTGGGAAGGAATCTAGAGATGTGAAAAAGGAGGAGAGGCCAGGGAAACTTTCTCTATGACCGACAGCTAGCCCTGGTGGGAAAGCAAATTGCTCTGTACTAATATCCTTAATACAGGTTAGCCAAGGTGGGAAGGCTGTTTGCCAGGGCCCTGAGGGCCCAGATGACATTTCCCTGAAGACTTCACATACCTGAACACTCCTATTTTGGAAGGCAGGATTTGATGGCTTCCAATGGCTAGTCTGATTGCTTTTTTCCCTGACATGCAGCTTTTTACGGCCTGCTTTTATTATTCTTTGCTGCTGGTGCGTTTAGATTCCTTTGCAGATTTCTGTTATTAAAATGTGTATATAGCTATAATAAAAAATATCTGTATATTTTCTAGACTTTGTCTTCCTTGGGCACCAAGCCAAGGGCACAGAGACGCTCACACCCACACCACAATGGCAGCTGACAGCTCCCCCTTCCCCAATAGGAAGAGTCATAAATATGCGGACGGCCCACGGAAGCCGACCCTACAGGGCCACCACAGTGCAGACAGGCACCTCCCGGGCTCCTGATCGTCACTATATTCCAGATTTTCCAACATCAGAGAGCACCAGTGAGGCCCACAAGACAAAAAAATGTGGTCAGAGCCCTGGATTCAAACTGGTGATGACATCTGGGTTCACACCCATGGTTGGGCCACAAAGCTCTCTGGATGATTTTGGGGCTCAGCCTAATGGATTTCGCTGGCCGGCAGGGGCGGAGCGCGGGGAAACGGAACTGCTCCATTCATGTATGCCCCTCAGAGGAAATACGAATGGGCGTCCCGGTTCGAACAGCCGCTCGCTCCACGGCCTTGGCCAGCCGACTGCCTCAGCCAAGTCTTCCTTGCAGAGTTTTGTTTCTTGATTGACACACGTTGACACCCTACCTTTCAGCCTGCCCAAGTTGGCTAACAAAGAATTCAACAGCAAAACGAAACCCAAGAGCCTGACAACGACAACCAAGAAAAATGCTCTCAACGAGCAGAAAGGCTGGTCTCAAGTTGCCGACGGAATCGACCCCTTTAGACGGGAAGGGCACTAAACGTAAGCGGCTTCCTGCCAGCTGCCGTCCTTCCGCACCTTGGTCGCCAGCTCTTTCTCCCGGTCCACCAGGCTCTCGATGTCTGCCGAGTCGTAGCCGCTGCTTTCGCTGGGCGTGACGGCGCTCTCGAAGGTGGTGGACGAGATCTGGGAGGAGATGCTGGTGGAGGTGCTGAGAGTCCCGCTGCTGAGACTGGGGGACAGCGAGTCGCTCAGGGACTTGGGGATGGCGTCGCCCAGCTTCTCTCGCAGCAGCAAGAAGTGGCGGGTCTTCTCCACCTGAGCGGCGACAGAAACGGCACTCGAGGACTTTTCTTGCCCCCACGATACCCTAATCAGCCGGTCCGTCTGCCCTCCTCCCAAGCCCCTGACATTCCAAAAGCCCCGAGCAGGGACAGGCCACGCAGGGACGGGACATCTCACCACTCAGGATTTAACCTGCAACAGCGGCTGTCCTTTGGGCTGCGTCCCAGGGAGGGGAAATGGGCCGGGGCGCCTCTTCCGGAAGGCTGCACTGCGATGTCGCTTCCCGTCACTCACCTCGTGCAGCAGTTCCAGCTTCTCCAGCTCCCACTGGTGCTCCACAATGAGACTGTCCCCCCGGGGCCTCCACCCTGCCAGGTTCTCCTCTCCGCGGACGTAGGCCACTGAAGTGTCCAGGACTTTCCTCCTCCTCCTCTGCATTCCTGAGGAGCAATGAGCTCAAATTAGCAGCCACTGAAACAAAACCACACTCACGGTAAAGGTTTCCCTCCCTCAAAAGCCAGTCGGATCCGACTCTAGGGATGCGGTGCTCGTCTCCGTTTCCAAGCCGAAGAGGACTTCTCCGTGGTCATGTGGCCGGCATGACTAGATGCCGAGGCACACGGAACCCTGTTCCCTTCCCACCAAAGCGGTACCTATTTAAACTCCTTGCAATTTCTTGCTTCTGAACTGCTAGGCTGGCAGGAGCTGGGGCCAGAGACGGGCGCTCACTCCATCCCCTGGCACTGGAGTTTTGAACTGCCGAGCTACCGACCTTCCGGTCTGCAGCTCAGCGTCTTAACCTCTGAGCCTCCGCGGCTTTACCTTTAAAACCACACTAGAGGCCACCAATAATGCTGCCACTTCCCACTCGTCCCCAGACCATGTCCATCCTCCTCCCTTCCCTGGGTTGAGCCGCATCAGTGGCTTCCCACTTTCTTCCTTTATAACGGTCCAAGACTAACATGAAGCTGCCTTAGACTGAATCAGGCCCTCGGTCCACCAAGGTCAGTCCTGTCTACTCAGACTGGCAGCCGCTCTCCAGGGTCTCAGGCAGAAGTCTTATACCTACCACCTGGTCCTTTTAACTGGAGATGCTGGGGATTGAACCCGGGACCTTCTGCATGCCAAGCAGGTGCTCTGCTACTGACCCATGGCCCCTCTCCTGAATGGAACTCTCACGTGTGGCTACCTTATTTGGAAACAGACCCCTGGTCCATCAAGGCCCATCTTGTCTACACAGACTGGCCGTGGTTCTCCAGGGTCTCAGGAAAAAACTCAGGTGGGGTCCTTCTGCATCACCTACCACCTGGTCCTTTTTAACTGGAGGTGCCGGGGATTGAACCCGGGACCTTCTGCATGCCAAGCAGGGGCTCTCTCACTGAGCCATGGCCCCTGCCCTCCCCATGCATGCTAGCATACATTCACACGTACACGCAAGTCGTGGGTGTTCTTACCTGGGCTGCCTGTGTCTGCCGTTTTGCACAAGCTTAGCTCGTAGATTCCAGTTACTCGATTGCTGTTTCACACAAAACAAAACAATACCGTGTGAAGAAAACAAAATCATATTTTGAGAAATAAACCCAAGAGCTAGAGACCAGGCCACTAGAACCTCTTGAGCACCTCATGGAAGAGCACCTCGTTCAAAACAGGAGGGGCAATTCACACAAACTAGGTTTTAATCACGTGAATGGTCAGATCAGATGCCACGGTTATAACCTCCTCACCATGTGAACACAGTGCACGTCTCATTAAAACAAGTTTCTCCTCTCAGGCTGCTTTAAAAAAAATTAAAATGGAAACAAAATACATTAAAGGTCTCCAGGACGATTCTGAAATGAAAGCTGCTGGCGTGATTCCAACTTTCTGAGTAGCAGCTCTCTTATTTCTCTGAAGTTCAATTGCTGAGCTAATCTGCCTGCCTCGCCCTCAGAAGTGAAAGAGGAAGAGGAGGAAGAGAAGGAGCTGGTTTTATATCCCGCCCTTCACTACCCGGAGGGGTTTCACAGAGGCTTACAATCACCTTCCCTTCCTCTCCCCACAACGAAGGTAGATGGGGCTGAGAGAGTTCTGAGAGAACTTGTGACTGACCCAAGGTCACCCAACTGGCTTCACGTGGAGGAGTGGGGAATCAAACCCGGTTCTCCCAGATTAGAGTCCGCTGCTCTTAACCACTATGCCAACCTGGCTCTCAACACAGCCTTCTTGGTGGTGGCACCTCTGTCATGCCACTCCCTTTGCCTGGTAACTAATTGAGTCCTTGAGTTTTAAGTGCTGAGTGAAAAAGGCCCTTCTGGCACACGACATGAAAAGTGCCTAAGGCAATTGGCAGCATGAAAGAAAACTAAAGTCAAACCAGCAGCAAAAGTTCAGCTAAGTCGAGATGCTGCGGCTCACTGGATTCTGCTGCTAAGTTTTCTCGTTTTGTCCGTTTTTATTTCAGTAACCCTGTAACAGTGTCCGTGTGGAAAATAAATAATTTAGAGAGCAGTATATATGTCTTCAAAAGTGAGACTCTAAAGATCTGGAAGGAAGTTAAAATTACCAAGAGCTTAGCCTGTGTGGCTGCTTATGTGAGAGATTCCTGTCAGAGTGGGATCTTGATGTCAAAAGGAGAGTGTGTGCGATACGTTTGACAGATATATTTACAAGTCCCTTATTCCCAAACAGTTACAGAATAACCAACCTCACATTTTGTTCTTATTTCAATAAATCATCTTTTGTTCAAGTTTATCCCAGAATTCAGTTCTATCTTTCCTCAGGACCACACAGATCCCTGAAAAGCCCAGACTCTGGGTCACATTACCAACAGCAAAGGAGAGAAGGTTTGGAAGTCCTTAAATCCCTGGTGGCAGCAGAAAATACCCAGCTTACAAAAGAGGAACGCATATAAAGTGAAAACCAGTCCTCCCAAGTAAGAGGCCGCCACAGATGCCTTCTGAACCAAGAAGCCAGGGACTCCTTGGCTCTGCCACCAGTGGAGCCGAATACTGTAGGGCTGAGCCTCCCGTTATTATTAAGCCCGCCTCCTTCTGGCCGTACGAGCAACATGCAGGCGGGAGACACGTTGTCCAACTTACGAATCCGGGGATTTGGAATAGCCGCTGCCAAAGAGAGTGCGCAATGAGCGAGGGGGGGAGATCTTGGCGTCCCGCGAGTAGAAGACCATGCAGACATCCTTGGTGATGACAGCTGGCTGGATGCAGTGGTCAAGCTGGAAGGAAGCGGAAGAGACCTCGGATGGCGATTTCTCCACTAAACCAGGGCAAATGTGTGCCGCTCTTCTCGCATGCCCAGTCTCTCCCCCAACATCTAACGGTATGTTTGGCTTCATTCAGCCATTGGTCACTGTGTGGAACGACAGGCCAGCAAAGACAGGACCAGACCTGGTTCCAAATGACCCAGCGCCTCCTGCAGGATTTGAGTGTTTTAACATTCTGATCAAATCTCACGCACAGGCAAGCGCTCTGCAGTCACACACGTGAAATTTAATCACCAGTGATAATGGCCCACTGCAGCTTGGATGCGGTTTTATCACTGCTGGTTCTCTTTACTCTACAAGCTTAGTACATTGCATCGGGCGGTTTAATGTTGTTATCTGGGCACTCCAGGCCACGATGGACCATCTGTGGGGTACAAGGTTCAAGTCCCAGCAGGCCTCATCCAATCAGCATTGAAGCCCCACCAATTTCAACTGGCGAGGCAGCTGACTCTTTTCAAGCACCCAGTTCTTCTGCAGGATTCAACAGGCTTAAGTCTGTCTGCATTTAAGTTGGATAAAACTTGGTGGGTCTCAAAGGTGCCCCCGCTGGACTCAAACTTTGTTCTACTGCTTCAGACCGACACGACGACCCACCTGGATCGATCTGCATTGAAGCGCAACACTGATCCGTTTCTCCATTATTATTTTTTTGTTTTACAAGGCAGACTCAAAAATTAAACATGGAGAAAAGAAAAAGATCCGGCATACGTAAGATGTCATGCTGTGGACCGGAAGACGTGCGAGGAGGTCAAAGAGAGTCACTGACCGCCTTCCCCCAGCAGGGACCGACATTCACAGTGGCCTCCTCTCTCCTTTCGCAGACCCAGGGGTCATTTCCTGCAGGAGCGCACAGGAGAGGAGCTCCGGCAGTAAAGAGCCCAGGGGGGCGGGCACATGCAACAAGCCCCACCCCCTGCTCCCAGCAGCCCTCAGTCAGAGCAAGAAGCAGCCAGGTAAGCTGCAGAGCCCCCCCCCCAGCCCCCTGGTCCAAAACAGTCCAGTGGCACCTTTAAGACCAGGTTTTATTCAGGTACAAGCTCTCCCTCCTCTGCGAGGACAGATCTACACGTCCCCCCCCCCAATAGCTAGCAATCCAAAACAGTCCAGTGGCACCTTTAAGACCAGGTTTTATTCAGGTACAAGCTCTCCCTCCTCTGAGGACAGATCTGCATGTTCCCCCCCAATAGCTAGGAATCCAAAACAGTCCAGTGGAGCCTGACTGGTGGGTGTTGTCTTCTGACACACTTCCGGTGATGCCAGGGGGCGTGGCATATGCAAATAAGTTATGCTAATGAGTTGTGTTAATAAGCTCCTGCACCTCTTTTTCTACCAAATGACCCCTGCGCAGACCCGAACAGCGGGAGACGCAACACACACTCACCTCCAGGTAAGCAGACAGGGTCATGTAGATCTTCTCTCCGTAGGGCGTCACTCGGTTTAAGAGGAGGGAATTGTGGAGGGAGCTGTCCCAAACCGCCTCAAAGCGGTAGAAAGTCCTGGAAGGGACACAACAGGTGCTCAGCTGAGACACACACACACACACACCCTGGGAGCCCAGCTCAGGACGCTGCCGTCACACCTTTCCCTGGGATGTCATTCCACAGGAACAGAGGCACACACTCTCAATTACTGTAGCAAAAAACTTCAGGGCGAGCTTAGAAGGGCCCTGCTTTCTTGATGGCGTGCCCCCTGCCCTGCTTTCTTCTTGGAGAAGAAGGTCCCTTTACACTGTACCAAGCATGAGAGCAAGGAGAAAAAAAGAAATCCATTCCCTGCCCTGGCAAACAACCCAGCACTAGGAGCACTATTTTAAAGATGTCAACTGTGCCCATGTACCCGGATTCTTCCCCACTTTCATGGAACCATGTATTTACCCACGAACCCCGCTGTGAAACGCCCCACCTTCCGGGCAGCGCCCAGGCCTCCTCCCAACATCACAGAAGCGTTCTGAACTACACGTGAACTAGGCTGCAAAGACACCTCTATCCTAACAGCGAGAGTGCCGAAGGAAAGGGGAGGCTGAAGGACTGCAGAGAGGAGGAGGAGGAGGAGGAAGAGCACCAGACTTCACCACGGCAACCGCTGCAAAGCCAGCCGAGGGAGAACCAAAACCTCAAAACTGTCAAGGACAAGGGAGGCAGGGAAAAAACACTACAGGTCTTGCTCTCCAAAGCTCTCCCCGTGGGAGGCTCCGGGTTAGGAAGGATGCACGCCCCACCTAAAGAAAGATGCGGACGGCCAGCCAGGCCCTGAACAGAGAGACAAGAACACACGAATCTGCCTTATACTGAATCGGACCATCGGACCATCAGTATCGTCTACTCGGACTGGCAGCGGCTCTCCAGGGCCTCGGGTCTTTCCCATCACCTCCTGCCCGGTCCTTTTTAACTGGAGATGCCGGGGATTGAACCTAGAACCTTCCGCTTCCCGAGCAGAGGCTCTCTCATGGCCCCTCTTCAGGAGCTTCCCAGGGCGGCTGCTTCTGGGCCACGAAGCGTCTCAGAGGGCTTGGCACCCTACCGGAGCTCTGAGCCATTCAGCTCTACCTACTGCAGCTCTTGACCTTCTGTTCTAATGTGGTGCTCCCATCCCAGGGACTGGGACGACACATCTCCTCGTTCTTCAGCAAAACCACCTCACCGCTCCCCCTGCCCGGTCAGCTCCCTGGGCCCTGACCCATATCAGTTGTGGCAAGTCCTATACCTGTCCGTCTCTGCAAACGGATTTCTTGAAACAAAGTTAGGAGCTGCATTTTGGGGAAGGGATGAAATTAAATTGGTAGTAAGCACGAGGCTAAGGTTAGTGAGGGTCATGAACGGGGTGGAGCAAACAGAAACTTGGCTCGCCAAACAGACGTTTCAAAAATAAACCAGGGTCAAGAGGAAATCAAAATCCCACACGGAGAGAAAGAAAAGAGCAGTGGGAAGAAGGTAACATGCAGAACAGAGGGAAGGAGAGGAGGAAATCAGGATCCCAGCTGGAACGTTCTGGAGTTATGGAATGACCAGAGCTAAGCTGCTGCGAGCGCCTTCATGGCAGAATAGAGCGCAGTTCTTGGGAGTGCACAGGAACTACACCAAGGAGACTCCGGTTCAAATCCCTATCCACCCATCAAGCTCACTGGGTGACCTTGGGCCAGTTACTCTTGTCTCAGCCCAAACCACCTCATAGGGTTGCTGTCAAGATACAAGAGAAGGTGATAATAGAAGAAGAGAGAAGAGATTGGATTTATACCCCTTGCCCTTCACTCAGAGTCTCAGAGCGTCTTACAGACTCCTTTCCCTTCCCCTCCCCACAACAGACGCCCTGTGAGGTGGGTGGGGCTGAGAGAACTCTGACACAAACTGCTCTTTTAGGTACAGCTGTGCCAGAGCTTGTGACTGACCCAAGGTCACCCAGCAGCCGCGAGTGGAGGAGTGGGGAATCAAACCCGGTTCTCCCAGATTAGAGTCCGCGCACTTAACCACTGCACCGAACAGACCATGGGAACACACACAGGTGCCTTGTACGCAGTCAGATCCTTGGTCCACTGCAGTACTGGGTTCTCTGTCTGGTTCTTTGGGATCCTCCTGGGAAGAGAAGATCTTTCCCAAGATCTTCCTTTTAATTACAGACTGAAGCTATAATCTTCTACACCCCGAACAGAAGGTCCTCTAACTATCTACTGCGTGGCCTGCCCCTCCACGCACGCCCTGCTGTGAGCTCTTTAGAAGGAGAGCAGAATATAAAAAGAGAGAAATCAGAAAAGTGGGATATAGCTTTAAATATACAGGGTGCATTGCAGGGTGAGCCAATCCGAGGCTGCGACAGTCACCCTGGAGGGGAACTGACAAAACGGCACTGGGTTGCCCGGATGAGACCTGAAGCTCTGTGTTAAGAGTCAGACGTCAGTAGCAATGTCCCCCTCCTGCTGTCCCATTCAACTCTTCTGCCTCTTCGACAACATATTTCACCTCTGTTTTGTTTCTGTCAAACAGGCAAACAAATGTTTGGTGTAGCGTTTAGGAGCGCGGCCTCTAATCTGGGAGAACTGGGTTTGATTCCCCACTCCTCCACATGCAGCAGCTGGTGTGACCTTGGGTCCTTTCAGAGCTGTTCTGTCAAGAGCAGTCCTCGAGAGAGCTCTCTCAGCCCCACCTACCTCACAGGGTGTGTCTGTTGTGGGGAGGGGAAGGGAAAGGAGATTGTAAGCCGCTCCTTTGGGTAGTGAAGGGCGGGGCATAAATCCAATCTCTTCTTCTTCTTCTAATGGGCTTATTACATTTGATTCACCCTTCCCTCCAAAGAAGCTGTGGTGTGCATGGAATGTCACCTAGTTTCTCCCACGCTTAGCTTCAGAGGAGCAACCGTGGGCTCTTCTCCAGCTGAGTCCCATGCCTTCGTTCCTATGGCAGCCCTGGCCCAGCTGGCTGAGGAAGGAAGAAGGTGAGAGGGGGCCGGGGGGGGGGGGACTTCTAGGCAATCCTACAGGTGCTTTGGAAAGGCTGAGGTGGAGGAATGCAAGGAAAGGAAAGGCAGCGGGGCTCTGTGTTGGTCCATCAGAGGGAGAGCAGACGGGAGAGGCCGTCAAGAATGCCCCGCCTACGCGGCAGAGCCAGGGAGCTAGCAAAGGGCCCGTGCTGGGAGAGGAAAGCAACGCAAGAGACATAAAGCATTCTAATGGAGCAGAACCCTTTATGTGCGAAGGAAGCAAAACAGAAAATACCTAGGCATATCCTTATCAAGAAAGAGCCTGTGAAGACACAGAAAGCTTTCATTAGTGCAGCCAGAAGCAGAACAGCCAAGAGGGAGACGGGGCAAGGACACAAAACTCAAGAACAAGACCACACTCAAGCGGCAGCCCAAAGACCAAACTTGC